CTGTGTCTTCTCCTTTTGTACAGGTTTCAGTTGGAGCTTGTCCCCAAACCACCTCCCAGGAAACCATCCAAGGCCTCGGGAGAAGTCCCTGGTGAGGGCAAGCACGAGAAAGCAGAGCGTTTGCCACCTCTTGGCCAGAGCAAGAAAGGTAAAGCAGCAGCCAGCTCCTTTCCATGCCCCACACAGACAAACTGTGATGGGAAAATGCCCATTCGGTGACCATCCTAAGGCTCTGACTTGTGAAAAGATTCACACCAGCTTGCCACAGCCTCTCCTAACCACATGTTAGCCTCATGACATCTCAGATGCGGGGCGCGATGTTCCCATGTGCCCCCATCCCTGGGTATGGCAGGAGGATGGGGGATCCTCAGCCCTGTCCTCCCCCCAGCAAATGAGCCCCTAAAAGAGACTGTCACCTCACCCGGTGACACCACCCGGCTCCTCTTTCCCAAAATAAATGCCAGGAAGGCAGGCCCAAATCAGAGCTGCACCTCTGAGAGGAGGAGCTGGGCAAGAGGGACAGAGGTCCCCGGAGAGAGTGTCTGTGAGGGAAGTGGAGCGGCCCTCTTCAGGTGCTTTGGGACAGGCCTGAGCACCTCTGCATGCCACAGGGACAGCAATTTCCCAATGAATCTCCTCTGACGAGATCTGTCCTTCCCAGTTCCAGGGAAAATTCCTGAACTGCCACCCTTACCTGGCCGCTTGAGCATTACCAGCAGAGAGGGCACATGCTCTGCGAAGACAACAAGGGTCGACCAGAAGAGCTCTGTGTCCAGGTGAGACTGGGTGCTCGGGGTTGGGATCCTTTTAGGGGCATTTCAGTGACCCAGCAAGAGCCCATTCTCCAGCCTCTGACAGTCCCTGTCTGGGGCTGCCCAGCAGCACTGAATGCAGCAGATGGAGAGGTGGGATGGGGCTGCCGGGAGCCCCCCATTTCACAGTGCTGACCCCTCTCCAGCCCTCAGGAGAGCCCCAGCGCAACCTGTGAGCTCTGCGTGGGGAAGGCTGCGTTACAGCCAAGGCTGCAGGATGCGGCCCCAAAGCCATCACCCACTGACATGGACCCCCCCTGCTCTGTTCTTTCAGTCAAGTTCCAGTGGTCCCAGCGGTGTCTTCTGCCCAAAAGATGGCTGTGCCTAGCAAAACCCAGGGCGAAGGCACTACCAAAAAAACAGCACCACTGACGGCTCCAGCACAGGCAACAAAAGCCCACAGGTGCAGAGAAGAACCAGGGCCGGTGAAGCCAGCGCTGACCAGTCAAGGTCAGCACAAACTTCCAGCCCGAGGAAAAGCACCAGAAACAGGTCGCACTCATGGAGTGGAACCTCAGAGGTGCCAAGAAGAAAGAGGAGCGCTGAAGCCGGTGCTGCCCAGCCAGCTTCAGGGGAAACACGCAGCCAAAGCTCCAGCACAAGCGTCAGGTCGAGCTCAGGCAGTGGAATCTCAATGGTTCCGAAAACAAGGAGCAGTGAAGCCGGCACTGACCACCCAGTTTCAGGGCAAACTCATCACCACT